TGTTTCATAACGCTGGGTTGAGGAGGTGGTGTCTGAGGCGGATGAGCACATGGAGGAAGATAAGGAAGACTCCAAAAGCAGATGTTGTTCGGCTGCTACGACATGTAAAAGGTGGTAGAGGGAGGCGAACCCCAGGAGCGTAAGCTCAACGGGATCGATCGGAAGAACATTGAATAGTTCAATTGCGTTGCGAATCGTGAGTTGGGGCGTGGATGGATCTCCACCCACCTGCCCTTTCAGTATCGCAGCAATCATGGCGCACCGAACAGCAATAGATATTTCCGCCCGCGCTGACGGTGGGACTGATGAATCAAGGAAATTTGTACTGCTGATGGCTGGCTGGCTTTTGGGTCGCGGAAGGGCAGCAAGGACAGTGTTAATATTTGTCACTCTGTCTTCACCAAAGAAAACGGCTTTGATTACAGCCGCTCGTGTATAAGCAGCTGAGGCGAGCGGTGCCACATTTGACGCTAGATTGAGGTTGAGTTCGAAGACTTCTCTGAGTTTCTGCTCGGGTGGGAAGGCATCAAAATCAAGACAATGGATCAATGCATTCTGAAGAGCTCTACTGGACCACCACGCCGCAAGAGCATCGAGCGGCGAGCGTACTGCAGTGTCTTCAACGACAATATCTAACATAGCGTCTTCACCATAAGTAGCTTCTTGGGTAGATCTGTTCCATGCCATGTTGGATGCACGTTGCGTTATTGCATCGGTCATAACATCATCCAAATCCGCTTCGAGAAGAGTGACAAGATGTTCTGGAAGTGCATCTTCGTGGTCCTTGGGTAGATTCTTTAATAGATTTCTTGCTATATCCCATTGATATCTGGCCAGGAGGGAGCCAATGTGGTTTGAGAGTCTAAAAGCCCACGAGCCCGGAGAACCCACCCTCCAAAGTAAAATGCGGCAATGGAGGGCTTTCAACATCACCCGTGCTGGAGTTCTTGGCAACGTGCCGGAGGCGAAAATAGTTAGAACCATCCGGCTCTTGCTGACTTCCGGGTCACCTCCGGTTAGTTGAGCATCAATGGCTATATCCCATGCTTTAGCCCTTGCTTTTTCATCGTCCTCGGTAATTCCTGTGAGCCAGGAATACAGCTTGGATCCAAGAAGACAACTTAGGACATACTCCAAGCAACGCCACGTTACTGCAAACCATTCAGGGAAGAATGTGTGCCTCGGTACCCAGACAGTCTGGATACTTGTGAGCCACGCCTCTTGCCGGAATTCAATTGGTGAGACACCGGCAGTGCTTCTCGACCCCGAGGGGGACTTAGTTGGATGCTTTGCTCGCCTTGGGGCTGAATTAAATAGGTAAGCAAAGACAGCACAAGCGGCTCCCACCACAACCACTGAAGTTAATACGAAATGAGACAGAGCTCTAATTTGCCACGACGTCGCCGTCAAGCCGCCGAAATACATTTGAACGAAGCGGGATATGTCTCCAGGAAACTGCAGAGGAATACCAAGTAACCCCTTTTTGGAGGACTCTGATTTTGATTGGTTTTCGAAGCCACCGACTATCATTAGAGCAGCAAGCGTCCCAAGCATAAATTTGTTGGGAAGGATCACTCGTCGACCGCCTGATGATGCATAATTTGTATTTGTATTTGATGGTTGGTTGAGAGATTCTGCATAGTGTTGCTGGGGTCCAGTCGCTCGCATACGTTTGAAATACTCAGGGACTTTGATAAGCCCTTCGGGCGGATGGAAAGAGTTGGGGGAACTTTCAGGAAAAATGTCTTCGGCTTGTGAGAAGACGTCTGGGGAGGATCCATGTCTAGAGTCAGGGGAAGAGGTGTAGGCACCAGCCGTTGACCCGGAGCCGGAAGCATTCGTGAAGTTTGTTAAATTTTGTTCTTGAACTTTATCTAATTGTCGAAGGCGATTTTTCAGGCCGACATTCTCCTCCTCCAAGCGTTTGTTCCGTTGTTCCAAATGACGAATATATTCGGTGGCTTTGGCTAAAATAGAAGCCTTGTTGAGTTTGTTAGAGGACAATACAATCTCATCATCATCGCCCATTCCCTGGCCGGATATTCCATTTTTCTGCTTGGCTAGAGCTCGAAGAGAGGGTACACTGTCTCGTAATTCGGCAATTTTGTCATTGAGGTTGGCACGGTATCGCTTTTCGATTACGTTGTGGGATCGTTTCTTCGAATGTAAAGCTTTTGAACCGGATAACATATCATCTTCCGCAGAGAAGCGACGAGGATCCGCTACCTCCGCCTTCCGTTTCCTGTCTGTTGGTAAAAGAGGAATTAATGAAGTGGAGGAAGGGGTCCTCTTCCTTTCTGATGTGTTCCTATTTGCGTGGTCTGCAGGGGAAGGTATTTCTGGCACAGAGTTATTCCGATGCCCGTTGGCTAACTCAGGACCAAACGTCGAATCAAGAGAGTCAGAAGTGGCAGGAGAGATATCCGATAGAAGTGGTGGTTCCTGCGGTGAAATGGTGTCACAGTTTGAAGAGCCAGCCGTAAATGTGAACGGGGTGTTGACTGGTAAAAGATCGAACGTCTTTGGTACCATAGTCTTATGTACATTAGATAATTCTTCATCGATGTTCGAAGGCATATTGAAAAGATCCGCATGAGCTGATATATCATCAGATTCGAGCTCGTCCCATTGCATCCATTGGGACCAATCAGCAATTGAGTTTTCTGGAGGTGTATTGTAGGAGGCGGTATCGGTCGATGGGCTCTTTATAGCCATTCGGGGAGACAATAATGGAGATTTCGAGTCGCGCTGGATCGCTGGGAAAGCCATGGTAATAATGATTTATCCCCACCTGTTACATGAACACCTGAAGAGCCGCAGAATCGGGAAAATTATAAACTCCCTTTCCTCTTCGTCCCCTTTATTTTCTTTGAAAAAGAATAAGGGAAGGGCAAGGCGCAAATAAACGAGGCACCCGAATTTGTCCCGGTTGCTCAAGGGGGAAAAGTGCAGAAACGAATGTGAGCCCAATGGGAGCTGACAAAAAGTTGAAAATGTCAGGGGATATTATTAGTGGCAATTGATGACAGAACCGAATGCACACCCAGCCCGTGTTGGAATCCGCGTTTACTGCGCGTGTATCTGGCTCCTGAGACGAGGCTTGTCACGAAAAAGATGATGATTGACGGAAGAGGGCCGAAGAGCCAGGGCCAGAACCGCCAAAGCCAGAACCGTTGGAACCGTCGGTGTTATCTAGCTAAATCAGTGAAAGCCTTGAAGGATTTTACTTGTTGGATAAGCCAGCAATGTAGTAGCGGTCAACTTCGCAGAAAAAGGTTCGAGCGCAGTCACAATAAACACGATCCGGAGCAGGAGGCATTCGTGAACAGTGTGGGGATGGTCCCAAGTACCAGCTCTCCAGGGCCAAGCCACCCTATGTAAGGAGCGGCCAAGCTCGTGCTCATCCC